TTTGCCCCGTTGTTATAATCCTGACCACTACAATTGTTCAATTCCAGTCCGTATTAATTTAAAACATCTGTAACAACTTTAGTGAGCCTTTCACCAGTCGACTCATTTACAGTTAAAAATTTTATGAAATGTTCTTTCACTGATATTTTATCGTCATCTGATGATAAATCAACAAATTGTATTGTCAGTGAAAGTTGCTCTAAATGAGTAATGTCCGGAGTCAGCTAATTGAATAATACTTTGATTTCTTTGCGCGAGATATAACTTCTAACTTCACTTTTTTACCTATTAGCTCTATTAATTCATTTTGTATATCTTTTCCACCGCCGTGGTCTGAAACATCATTCATAGCTAACCGTAAGTGCTCCTGCATAATTGGATCGAATTTGGCTAATAGCTGTACTAAGCTTAAGATGGCTAACCACTATTAAAAGTCTAAAAAATAATTTGTTTGTTTTTTTTCGTTCTTTTTTTTTGGAAGTTTTAACTTTTATAAACAATAAAAATATATAACAATAGAAGAAAAATTTATAAATTTGCTCTAATTTTGTTCCTTAAATAGGGGCAGACATCCAAAAGTTCCTTAGCAACGGCCTTTTAAAAGTTTCAATTAGCAACGGCGACAGTCAGCACTTCTTTTCTCCAGAACTAATAGGCCCTTTTTCTCTATATTTTAACTGTAATCAAGTTCCTATCTACACTGTTAAATTATTCCCGAGTTAAATGGCATTGGTCAAAAGTATTAAAATCAGACTATATTTGAATTTGTTTCTTTTTACTTATTTTTTTTTTCCGATGCGTTTTTCTCCATTTAAAGATATTCTTTCTTCTAACAAAGATATCTTTAGTTTTTTTAAATAATTTTCAGTGAAATTTTCTACAGCGATAAAACTTAGTTTTATCGTTTAGTTTTTATTGTAGTTAATCAATCCATGAAAAGTAAAATTTCTTATAAGAAGTGCTATTCTCATGAATTTTAACAATTCAGACAAGGGTTTCCAGTTGTTACATCCTTCATATAATAAACTAGACGTTGATCTACTATCAAATGGCCGGCAACAAAAACAATAAACTCGATCCTTACAGACGGAGTATATTATTCAACGATTCTAAATTGTTTCGTTCTTGGCAAGTTTTTTTGTGAAATGACATTTAAAGAAATGCCGGCCTGTATTATTCTTTGTGTAACTATCAATGTAAGTTTGCACTTGCCAGTTAGATATAACATGATCAATAATTTTCCAATTTCGAATGAGTGGTCATATGGCTGTATCCGATAAATTTGGGGCAACAGTGCTAAAGTCATCTGGAATTTGTATTTATTGCACATAACGGAGTTATGTGCAATAAATACAAATTCCAGATGACTTTAAGGCATTGATGAGTCCAACGGAGTCATCACGAGTAGATATTGTAGTTGTAGCACAAGTTCTCCTCACTTCGGAACACTTTGTCCACAATATCTTTAATAGAGAGCGGATCTACTGATACATTCGTTGCTACTCCAGATGTAGATGCCACATTCAGGTCTTGATTTTTCGTTGTAATATATTTATCTATACTCATAAACTTTTTTGTTTTTTGAAGTTCTTTTTCTTTTTTTACCTTCCGTTTTCTATATTTTGACCCATATGGTTTTCTTTTGATAAGATCAACGTGTTCAGACATTTTGCAGTAATCAGCAAAGTAATAGTCAACAATTTAAGTAAATCTCTGTAGATGCAAACATTACCACAATAATTATACTAGTTTTTATTGGATAAATACGCAATTTATTCGATATCTACTATAGCATATTTATATGCGCAATTGCTCACTTTTTTTGCTAGCCTAAATTAAGTGAGCGTTTTTAGAAAACGATGAGGGAAAACGAAGAATAATGAATGTAGCAGCACTCCACTGCGAGTCAGGCTGTTTGTCAGTCGATGTATGTACTGAAGCCCCCAGCAGCAAGCTATTTGACGTTAGGTGAGTATGACATCATCATGCTCACCTAACTCAGCAGTATAAGATATAGATATGTATATATATATATATATATATATATATATATATATATATATATATATATATATATATATATATATATATATATATATATATATATATATATATATATATATACATAAAAAGAAATAGTAACAATGATTTGATGTCTCAATAAAACCTAAAAAGCTTTGTTAGTAAGCCTACGTGACTGTCAGCACGCACGAGCAGTACCTACGTGGCTTCATGCAGGCAAAGATTAGAAAAAACAATGATATATTATTGTATAACTAGTCTAACTTGCGGACAAAAAGTGAAGCCGCTTTTTTTGTGTATAACAATAGTCAACCTTTTGTAAAAAGGGCAAAAGCTGAAGCCGAAGTGTGGAATAAAAGTTAAAAATGCAAGTCAAAAGTTCCCAACAAGTTAAAGATAATTCAAAAATAAATTTTAATAATTATAAAATACATATAAAAGTTTTTTTATGAGCCTATGTTTAATAAAAAATATTTTAATTCATAAAAATGCTTCAAAAGCGTCTGTCATTTTTCTGTTCAAAACTTTAATCCTTTTTTAATCGAAAACAAATTAAGGAATCATAAATTATTATTTTACAAGTATTATAATTTCCGCTTAACACTTTTACGTAAACAGTATTTAAATTTAAAACATATTTACTTCATTTAAAAAAAGAAAAGTTAAAATATTTGTTTACAAATTTAATCCGCCATTTGTAAAAAGACCAAAAAGCGGCTTCACTTTTCGGATCCATGTTAGACATCTAGTTATAGGGAAAGTGGGGGCATAACCGCCCCCGTAACTTTTAGATTAATGTTATATGAAAATAAAAACGAAATATGTTTTTTTAACAGAATATTTTAATAATCACATTATTAAGCTTTAAATTGATGCAATTGAGAAAAAAATTAAACGGTTTTTGAAAATGTTATTTCACAAAAATTACACTTAGTGAAAAAAACGGTTTTGCCCCTATTGTGAGGCACAACGGCACCCTCACAAAAATCGTAGGGGATACACTGCGCTACGGCTGCTCTAAACTATTTCTCTTCAAGTTTTTACATGAACGCATTCAAGTGTGACGATTGTAATTATTGTTATTTGTAATCACCTAACTTTGATAAACATCAAAAGTACGTGGTTGTGCCTCCAGTACGTCTATGCATTTCTGCCCCAGAGGACATTTTTTAGAAAGAATGCAGTTTCATAGCCTGTTTATTAGGTTATGTTGTTATCAAAATTGGTTTTTACTTGATGAAATATTGCTGATAACACATATCTTTAACACTAAAATCAAATAATGCTTAATCCTCAAAATAAAGGTCTGGAAAAATATGATGTAAATATAAGATTTTTATAATAATAAACTTTATTATGTACAACCTTTCAGAAACGTAACAGGCACTCTTTTTGACATAAGCGAAATAAACGAAACTGTTTTACTAACGCGTGATTTGTTTTTTGCTATATCTGATATCATTTTTCAAAGGAAAATGTTATAAAACGGTTGTGCCTCCATATGCGGTTATGCCCCCACTTCCCCTATAATATATCATTGATATAAAACCACCAAATATAACAAAACCACCAAAATAAATTGATATCGTAAGAGTTTGTTATCAGACAATTGTTATATCTTTGTAAAAATTCTAGAGAACAACAAACAAATTCACAAAACGACTGTAGTCTTGTTGTGGCAAAGGAGCTATGCAATCATTACATCAACAAAAATGTGTATCCAACTTAAGAGAGCCATGTCAAAAAAAAAGTATTGAAAGATTATAAAAGTTCCGTCCGGATGTGTCACTTCTAAATATAAGAAAACTGAGGAGTTAGTTAGATGAAATTCTACAAACTTTAACAACAGAACGGTGACTAATGCTTACGATATTCATTATTTTGATACTACATTATTTTGACTGACTTTATATTACAATATAAAGTCAGTCAAAATAATGGAGCGGGTATAGTAGTTATGATGATATCAAAAACAATTTTTAGACAGGCGTAGAGTATAACAGTATCCAGTAATTCCGAATCAAATAGTAAAAATAAGCAAAACAAAAATTGTGAAGGCAAAAAGGCCAAATGCAGCCTCGTAGATAATACAGATATTTTTCCCAGTAGAAAATGAGTATCCGCGTATCTAGATGACGCATCTTATCTGAACTTATCTTCGCAGTGGTAACTTAGCAAAATAACATTGCTACAATAAATATTGATCTGCATAGTTCCACTGTGGAAGAAATAACGGACTCGGTTGATTTTTGGATTACAGACAGCTGATTCGGTTGATTTCTGACAGACAGTTTTTAAGTGTTAGCGTAAATCAAACGTGTAAACAAGTTTTTATGAAAATGGAGCAGAAAGTTGGTGTACAGAAGCTAAACCAATAGCTACAGGTAATAAGAGTGCTCAGGTCTAGCTCAAGGTATTCACACCCTTGGTCTTACACCCATTGCTAAGTTATTTTTGCTTAGCCATGCTGCATATTTTATTTGGGTATATTCTCTGGGTATATTCATCTGCACAAATGCACAAGTGCGTTTAAGTACCACTTTTTTGGCATATATATATATATATATATATATATATATATATATATATATATATATATATATATATATATATATATATATATATATATATATATATATATAATATATATATATATGTATATATATATATACACAGGGCCGCCAAGAGGATGGGGGGGGGGCAATTGAAGTAGTTTGCCCCGGGCATCACAGTCTATGGGGCATCACATGCCTTAAAAAAATTATTGAAATGATAAATTATTTAGCTGAAAACGTATTTAAGATTAAGCAATTTTTGTGTATTAATTTCTTTCTCCTTTTAAACTTAGTTTGCATTTAAAGTAGGATAATTATTACTTAACAAGGTTTTCATTATCTATTTAAACGCACGCGTTTTCATTGGCCTTTTGTTCGTACGATAGAATAAAAAGCGTTAAAAAAAAATTTTCTTAATTAACGTTTGTAAAAGCCTAACTTCTAATAGTTTAACTTATTTTTGCTTAAACCTTGCGTCCCTGTGGATACTTTTGTGCATATGTATGTTTTTGACTCGCCTGCATTTTGTTCCGACTATATTTTGACAAGAAACTTATCTTCAGTGGATATTTTAATTGTAAGTACTATATTTTAATTGTAAGTTGTAAGTTGACTTTTTCTCTGCAATTAATAACACCAAAGTATTATGAAGTTTTTAATTTTTAAAATTTAAAAAGTTAAAATTCTTTATATCGTCATAAGTTTTAGCATGAATAATCAAAGACCTCCACGATTGAACCAGCTGTCTGGAGCTGCTGGGAGAAAAAGAGCGATGATTCGGAAAAAAACGAAAGCAAAAACAAACGAACGCTTTTAGATTGCGTTCGTTGGACAAAAATCGAAGATAAATGCAAGCAGGTAGTTAAACTATTTTTAAATCTTGTGACGTTCATGAAAAAATAATTAAAATAATTCTGTTTAATACTTCTTTATAGTTCAATGATATTGAGATCGGTATCAATGACTCTAATGAGTTGCCAGACCATAATTCCGACAACCTTTTTCTTGCCGATGACATCGATGACTCCCAAAAAACATCATCACATTTAAAAAAGGATCAGTTGGATTTTGTACTTGATTGTCACAATGACCAACAAATTTATAAAAGTGATCTTTCTATACCAATCTCTAACGATCCTGCACTATAGAAATCAATATCAGACACTGATCGAACGGATATAATTCTGATGGGACCTTCTTCAAATCCTAGCAATTTTCCAAGAGATCAAAAAGAACGCAAATTCCCTACTTACATCTTTTTAGAGGAACAAAGAAAGGAGAAAAAGTTAGAAGGGATTGGCTCGTTTGGAGTAAGGCTGTGGCATCACTCTTTTGTTTCCCTTGCTCCCTTTTTGGATCGCCTAACTTAACCAGACCCGGTGTTCAATCCAGTTTGTTGTCTTAGAATGGAGGTATACATGGAAATTGGAGAAAACTTTCAGATCGCGTTAAAGGTCATCAACAAAGCGATTTTCACCGTAACTGTTATCTCCAATGGAAAACAGCTACGATTCACTTAAAAAGTCAAAAGTCCATGGAGCATCAGTTAAAAAAACAAATTGGAGATGAAACAAAGCAATGGAAAGTAATTTTACAATGTATTCTTGACGTCACAATTTTTCTAGCTTCAAGAAACTTAGCTTTTAGGGGTAAGAATATTGTTTTTAAATTTGAAATTATATTTTGCATTATTTTATTTGTAATTTAAAAATCAAAATTACAAGTTTTAATTGGATATAAATATGGATTACTATTTTGATTATTTTTTGTTTGTAATTAGGATCCAATCAAAAGTTGTTCAAAAATGGGAATGGAAACTTCCTTGGAGCGCTCGAATTAATTGCTCGCCACAACAAAACATTACAAGATCATATGCATCTTATTGCTAAGCACCAAGAAGAAGAAAAACGCATGCAAGCTCATTATTTATCCTGGAAATCACAAAATAAATTTATCAAGGAATGCGGCAAATTAGTGGTTCGAGAAGTTATTTGAGAAATCAAAAAATCAATATATTTCACCATCATCACGGACAGCACTCCCGATTCGTCCCACAGCGAGCAAATAACTTTTGCTTTTCGTTTTTTGCATTTCAATGATAATCAGCTGTGGGAGGTCAAAAGAAAGGTTCCTTAAGCTAGAAGAACTTGAAAAGAAGAAAGGATCTGATATAACAAAGTTGATATAGAATGTGTTGGAAGAGAATGAGCTCGACTTAAAAAATTGTCGTGGTCAAGGCTACGACAACGGCGCTAATATGGCAGGTATTTACAATGGAGTTCAAGCTTTGATAAGACAGAATAATCCACAAGCAATTTTCATTCCTTGCTCTGCTCACAGTTTGAACTAATGTGCAGTACACGCTATTGAATCATCGGCTTCTGCAAAATCCTATTTTGGAAATATTCAAAAGCTATACAATCTGTTCAGCAGCAGCCCAGTTCGTTGGAAAATTCTTCAGGAGGAGACAGGCCAATCATTACATGAACTTTCTGTTACACGATGGAGTTCAAGGATTGAATCAGTTAACCCACTAGTAAAAAAAGCCAAGAGAGATCTTGAAATCATTACATCGTCTAAAAGAGTTAGACCTTCCAGGCGAAAGTAGTAATGAAGTTTATCTCATTAAATGGATTTCTTTTGAGTTTAATGAAAACTCAGATCTAAATCTGGCATGCGCAATTGCGCAATTGGAATGCGGAATTGTGAAATTAATTGTAAAATTAATTGGAATGCGGTTTTATGGAAACTGTGAAATTAATTGGAATGCGGTTTTATGGAAACTGTGAAATTAATTGGAATGCGGTTTTATGGAAACTGTGAAATTAATTGGAATGCGGTTTTATGGAAACTGTGAAATTAATTGGAATGCGGTTTTATGGAAACTGTGAAATTAATTGGAATGCGGTTTTATGGAAACTGTGAAATTAATTAGAATGCGGTTTTATGGAAACTGTGAAATTAATTGGAATGCGGTTTTATGAAAACTGTGAAATTAATTGGAATGCGGTTTTATGGAAACTGTGAAATTACAGACGAAATTAGTTGAAGAATGAAGACTTGAAAAAGAAGAAGAGAGACAGTAGGACTCCAAAACTAATAGAAACGTGCAAAGACAATGGTAGATTTGTTACTGAGAAAAATTTGAACAAACTAAATAAATTGACATAAAAGAAACTACTAGCAGAAATTATTGAGAGCAACAGTTATACCGAACATTCGTCAAAGAAAATAAATAAAAAATTAAAATTATGAATTTCGCAATTAAAGAACTCAGAATCTCGATAAAAAATGCAGTAAAACAAGAAAAACAATATAATTGTTAGCGCAAATAAGTTGTTGATGGAACAAATAAAATGAATAGAATAAAATATTTGCAATCATATTCACAATTTTGGCATGTTTAACTTTCGAAAAAAGTTATTAAACTTTTTAGATTGGACTTTCCGAATACATAACTTTGGTGGTATGTTATCTGCTCTATTATGTTATATGGTATATGTTTGTTATATATAATATTTTTTATCGCGAATCAATTAATAATATATGTTATTGCGAACCAAAACACAACATATATTATATGCTATGTGTTTTAATTTGCAAATCTTGCTTATATTTGTTACTGAATATAGGAGAGCAGAATCAAACGTTTATAAGACTTTTTAAAGTCTTATAAACGTTTTTAAAGTCTTATAAACGTTTCAGTCCAGATTTGCGCAACCGTAATTTAAATTTTTTTTATTGTAGCTTTGTAGCACAATGGGGCTGGGACTGAAGCGTTTGAATCAACTTTCTCTAATATGCTTAGAAAACGACCTCTTGGATAACACTGATGTCAACATTATCATTAAAGTATTTGCAAGGAAAAAAATGCAAAGAAAAAAGTGCTTATAAGAAAGTAATTAGGCAATTTTTCATGTTTAGAATGCTCTATTAATTATTTTAATAACTGTTATTTTATTCTAAACTATTATGAAAGCACCAAAATATATTTATTGAATAAATGAATTTAATTTTTCAAGTTTTTCAAAGTATATATGGTTATTTCTTACCATAAAACCTCTTCCCCCCCCCCCTCCTCCTTCTCTACTACTCCTCTCAAAAAAAAAATACTTGCTAACACTGCATTTTATCTTACTATAGATTTTTTTTTTGTCTCGATTGATTGTGTTGTCTGATGATAAAGCGAGTCATGTTTCAAACAAATTCAAATGTAGTTATTTAATCTTTCTTCTAATTAAGCATATATGTGCAACTGGTTTTTGTCTTTATTATCTCCATAAAGGTATGATAGTATTTGCTACACATTAAAGAAATTTTTCGGATCCAAATTTTTAATTTGCAGTTCAAAATTTTATTTGCAGACGTCTGCAATAATTTCTTATAAGTTAGTTTCTTCCTAATTATAGAATGGAGAATAAAGAACATTAGTATTTCATTACCATTCTATTAAAAAACAACTCTAGAAAAAAAAGTAGGCATTTCTATTTTGAGGAAGGAGAGGCGATATATATATATATATATATATATATATATATATATATATATATATATATATATATATATATATATATATATATATATATATATATATATATATATATATATATATATATATATATATAGATTTTTGTCATAAAAAATTTTTTTTCTACCATAAAAGGTTTTATCTTCTACCTTAAAAGGTGGAAATATAAAAACCTTACTAAGGTTTACACATATCCTACCCAAAGGTGGAAATTTATTAGACAATACACCCTAAGTGTATTTACAATACACTTAGAGTGTATTGTAAATACACTCTAAAAAAATGGACCTTTTTTTAAAGTGTATTGTAAATACACTCTAAAAAAAGGTGCATTTTTTTTAGAGTGTATTGTATACCAAATTACAGAAAGAGTTCCCCTCGCAGCAGTATTTTCTGTTCAATTTAACTAAATTATAATAATAAAAAAAAAAATTGTATTCAAACTATATTTTCTACGTCACAATCATGCAAACGTCATAAAGGTGATTTTCCACTCATCTGTTTTTCCACAGGAAAGGACACGAAAAAGTAATCACAATAAACAGCATGCGCAGTTTCTTTCGGACAAATAAAAACTTTTATTAGGCATGCTCACGTAATTATTTTTTTGTTTCCCGTTCCCGTAAAAAAACGGATGAGTGGAAACTCGCTTTAACGGTTTGTTTTGTAATAAAAATAAAGATTTACTTGAATCTATCACACTTTTAAAACTTTAAATTCTATCGTTTAAACATTTCTTTTATTAACTATTTTGCAATTTTAAACTTTTGCATAAATTATTTAAAAAATAAAATATATAATAATTGAAAGTTTTTGACATACCAAGTACAAAAGAACATTTTTGCCATAGAAAATCTTTTGGGCTTTTTAAAATTTCAAGAAGTAGCTGGCTGTTAGCCTTTAACCAATCAATAGCGTCATTACTGGATGAATAATATGTATAAGAAAATTTCTTTGCGCCTGAAAACATAAGACGAAGCAAAAAGTAGGTTAACAGTATTAAAGTTTAAACAAACATTTTATAACTGTAACAAGTTTTATAATATTTCTTATATTATCCTATAAACTTGTTGCGAAACTTATGAATGTGTTGTTGCAAATGGTGTAGAATTACTTATGTATGTGATTATGGTTATTTTGATGGAAGTGATACACAGTGAAATAAAGAATGACAGTTCATGGCCGACGACACGAGTTTTAAAGCGGAGGAATACAATCGTCAATTTTTTAAAAAAACTTATCTATGTCTAAAAAAAAAATCCTTAAAAAAAAAGTGGGATGCCAGTGCCCTTCCCCCCCCCCTCCTCCTCCGTGTTGTCGGCTCTGCAATAATAAAGATAGACATAATATGATAGACTTTTTTTTATTATTGCCATATTGTGGCAATAATTTAATGACAATAATAATATAAAGGATGACAATAAAATAAATATAAATGATGCAACTATTACAAAATGATAAAAAGCAAAACATTAAAGGAATCATAAATAATTTATGTTCTAAACAAAGTTAAAAAAAAACATTCTATATACCTTGGAATGAATTATGTGGGTCGCCCATTTTTAGAACAACTTTTTTTGCTATAATAAAAATGATGAAAAACTAAAAATCATACTCAACAAAACCAATTACTTTTTTTAAAAAAGACTAAAAAGGACTTAAATTTAAAAATACTTTAAAAATATATATAAAAAAAATTATAATTGAATATCTTTATATATTATATTAAATGGTAAAATCTGTTTACCATTATGATATCATATACCGTAAACAATGATGTCATATATCATAAACTATGATGTCATATATCATAAACTATGATGTCATATATCATAAACTATGATGTCATATATCATAAACTATGATGTCATATATCATAAACTATGATGTCATATATCATAAACTATGATGTCATATATTATAAACTATGATGTCATATATCATAAACTATGATGTCATATATCATACACTATGATGTCATATATCATAAACTAAATATGATCTCCATATGTGTGACGTATGCATGTTTGTGTGTGTATGTGTGTGGGGAGAGAGAGATGGGGAAAGGGGAAGTGTTTAAGCTCTCTTTGTTTCCTTAAGCTCACTTGATAACTTATATCTGACGTATAAGGTGTATCTGGGAAAGTTTTAAAAACTTTTGAAACATCCTAATTGCAAAAGTCTTTAACACTCAAGTTATCTTTGGTGGATAGCGAACGTCCTATTATTAACCTTTAATGGCGTATAATTTACATAAAAGCTTGAAAAATGAATATTGTAATAAAGTCAATACTACTAATATAGAGATTTTGCTTTTATAAACCTTAAAGAGGATAAACTACAATCAATTCATCTGCATACATCCATTATTATCATGTTATTATTTTTGTTTCTAAATAATTCCTACTAGATATTTTCTATCAGGATATATGACACCGAGCTTGGCTTCTTAAAAAAATTGATTTTTAGTATTTGGGTTCAATATATTTATGAAAATGATTAAACTTGTCGATGTCTAAAAATCACAGTTTTGTGCGTAACATCAAGTATGTAGCCAGCTACAACATTTCAACAAACCTATAGCTTGAAAATCTAGGCTACATATCGTAGCTTTGTAGCTGGGTAAATAGTGACTATAAATCTATAAGTAGTCGATATCGTTAGCTAAAAGTTGTGGTATGTATACACGCCACAACTTCTTAGATCATTATTATTTTATTGTAGATATCTATAACATAACGACAAGTCTATATTTTGTTGTAACATAACGACAAGTCTGTATTTTATTGTAGATATCTATAACATAACGACAAGTCTGTATTTTATTGTAGATATCTATAACATAACGACAAGTCTATATTTTGTTGTAAATATCTATAACATAACGACAAGTCTGTATTTTATTGTAGATATCTATAACATAACGACAAGTCTATATTTTATTGTAGATATCTATAACATAACGACAAGTCTATATTTTGTTGTAAATATCTATAACATAACGACAAGTCTGTATTTTATTTTAGATATCTATAACATAACGACAAGTCTATATTTTGTTGTAAATATCTATAACATAACGACAAGTCTGTATTTTATTGTAGATATCTGTAACATAACGACAAGTCTGTATTTTATTGTAGATATCTATAACATAACGACAAGTCTATATTTTGTTGTAAATATCTATAACATAACGACAAGTCTGTATTTTATTGTAGATATCTATAACATAACGACAAGTCTGTATTTTATTGTAGATATTTATAACATAACGACAAATCTATATTTTGTTGTAAATATCTATAACATAACGACAAGTCTGTATTTTATTGTAGATATCTATAACATAACGACAAGTATTTAGTCAATAGCTAAATCTCGTAGGTTTATCAGATTGTTTTAAATAAAACTTCAAAGTTATTAAAAAATGTTTGTTGTATATTTTTTAATTGCAGATTTTTTAATATAAATTAAAAAATTTAATTACTTATATTGTGTTAATTTAGCCATTTTCGAAAATCTTTTTTATCAGAATGAATTTTGGGTAAATTATTAATCAAAATAAGTTTCGGCTAAAATTTGAAGTTTTGGTTTTTCTTGAAACTTTTTAATTGTCAAATAATTAAACTTTTATTAATTGTATTTAAATAATATTTGAATAGTATAAATTTCTTTTATAATGTTATATTACACTACTTATATATCTTGCCACTTTAAATTTAATATAATAAATTATGATATTTTAAAACTATGCAAGAGGGTGAGAGAAAAACAAAACAGAAAGAGACAAACCAAGGCAGAAAAAATATATATATTTTATGTTTATATTTTATACTCTTGAATGGAAAAACGAAAGTACCTTTTAATGCCTTTGTCAATATTTGAGCAGTTGTTATGTTTTTTCAAAACGTCGTCACTTTTTTTTTGGGGTTCTTGTTAACTTGTTTATATTCTCGTCTTTTTAAAATTATTTTCTAACTTTTTTATTTTACTGATAAAAATGTAGGTTAGCTTATTTGTTGCTTTAATATTTTAAAATCTCAATAACATATTAAAAGATTCAAAGATTCCAAAGCATTTAATTGTTGGGATTAGATGAAAACAATGTTACTGAATGACAATTACTTAGATACCCTGTGTTCTCTAAGATAATAACTTTTAAAACCTCAATTGTTATACATTGCACTGAAATAATCAGAAAACGGATTACACCTTTTCTTAACCTAAAAAAAAACTATAATTAGCCAAATAAGCACTTCTCCATTGCTTTCCATTAATTATTTGAAATTTATTGACGTTATCCTATATTGCTCTCTTAAACAGGAAAATCTTTTTCGCGAAAATAAATGCAATTCACTTTTTGATACTTCTTTTAATGTCACGCCGGAGGAGAGACGTGCTAGTCTTTTATTTTTAATTTATAATGAAAAAACAAATTTCTCAAATATTTGATGATGACTAAGTATAATTGTTGATTATACTTATTCTTTATTTGTTGATTATGTATTTTTTTCGATTATTATTACATTAACAGTTAATATTAGTTTTATTTAAAATTTTTCGATATTTTCGTAAAAATAATCTCTATAAATATTTCTTTTTTTTTATTAAAAAATTACGATAAAATTTCTATTAAAACAACTTTAAAAAATAATGATTTATAATCCAACCTTGTCACTTAAAAGTATGCTAATATTTTAATAATCAAGCCTTGTCATTATTTCAAAAGTATAGCATACTTTTGAAATAATGACAAGGCTTGATTATTAAAATCAATACTTATTCCTAATGATTTGTCGTAAAAACCACCATGCATGTTCTAGATATGATCAACATATCTAGCTCAAGATATAGCCAAATTCGAGCAAGTTTAATACCGAGCTAAAACACATACATCTCCACCATAAAACACTTACCCAACACTTAGCGACCACTGATCTCTAGAGTGACCACTGATCTCTATAATAATTAATAGATATCTTACAGAACACATAGAGTTATTATTTAGATGTGTTAGCGAACTTTTATCTTTAAACCGGGAGACTAATAAGTTCGAATTTCATAAAGCACACTTTCAGCTGGCACCGAAGTAAATTCCATAAGTAACATATAATATTGACATAAATACAAATTGGCATAAGTCTAAACAGTCATCAATACAAGAAATATTTGTTAGCTAGCATATATGTGCGCCAAAAAGATTTAAAAAAAACGGGATAAAGTGCGCCAAAAGAATTTGAAAATATGGATTCGCACTTATGTCAATTCGCACTTATCAGGGTTTGCGTAATGTCCTGCGCGCTATTGGTAAGGAAGAAGGCAAGAACTTCCTTGCTAAATGCGGTGCTATCAAAACTGTTAGGTCTTCTTTGGGGCACCTAAAACAAGAACCAATGAAAAAAAAAGAAAAGATTTTATTGAACAATACAAAACTAACAACAAAATCGATATAGTTAATTTTGCGATCGCTTAACGTCAACTTCAAAGTGCAGTTTTCGAGTTTGCAGACTTACCCAACAATTTAAAGCACAACTTGTTTAAAACTTTGCAAAAATAACAACTTCCTTACCAACCGTGTAGTCAAACCATGACACACTTTAATCCTAAACGTGTTACTTGGTAAAAAATAAGTAATTTTAGTTTGTAATGTTGGCATTACCTCACATATTTAACAGCTGATTCATAATTAAGCTTTTGCAAACATTATTCTGAGATAGCTGGATTAGAGTTTATTAGGAGTGTTTTTCTTCAATTTTTAATAGGGAAGTTTAGATGTTTAGAAGATTTGAAGTCAAAAAATTATGTTTAATCTATATAACATGTTTATTTTATCATTTTTCATCTTACTTATTTCTCTGCATAAGTTCAGGTGTTAGATAACCTACTATTATTAACACAGCTTTCATTTGTTTATTCCAAAAAAAAAAGGTGTCAAATATAAACGAAAACTTAGAAGTCGTTTATATGCTAATTACAATGTTAAATCTAAAACTCATTAAAACATGAATGTAATCAATCTAAAAGACTATAAATTCCATTAAATTCCAATTCAACTATTTGATTAACTCTAATTTCCATTACAATATATTAAATATTACTACATTAATGTTTTTTCAATAAATAGTTACCAAAAATGGTTCATTCCATTTTGTTTTGAGTTAGTTTATTGACAAGTAAACTTATAGAGCTTAATCTTGGTTACTTCAACTTGAACTTGAAGCCATTGTGCTAAATAACAATTTGTCGTGGGCCTACTTAGGATAAGTACTTTTTATTTACTTTTAATTATAACTAATATAAATCACAAAGATGCAAACTTAGTGGTTATGTACACACACAGACTCATTTTTGACATATTTTGTGCAAAATAATATCTTTTTCACTTAGCGCTACATTTGTTCAAAGTTGAAAATTGTCCCCGTTTTACATTAACTTCAAACACTATTTCTACTATAACACCTTAACTGTAATTTGAAAGGTTATTTTCATTTGAAAGCTAAAAAGTATTTTCGTCACAGAATGGCCTGACATGCCGTATAAATCAGTACTTATTCCAACCATTTACCAAGTTTAGAGTTTTGTCAAATTTTTTTAATCAAACCACTTTGTATAAACTTGTTTTTATTTACAAAGGGCATGCTCTCCTTTCAAACTTCAATTCTAACCTTGCGCGTTTTTTACATATGCAAGTGTTGAGATTAATAGAAATATACATAGGGCCTGATTAATCTCGTAGACCAGGTACAAAACTTAATCTCAAACATTAAAAGTTAAAACCAGGGATGTTTCGAGTTAAACACTTTTTTAAAAAAAACTCGTTGCCAAATCAGTGATCGATCCAGAGGGAGGAAGAGTGTGAAATGGTGGGTGTGCATTTCCCCCCCCCCCCCTACTCAGAACCTGAAAGTCGTAAAACATCTTAGAAGTTTAAGCCTTTCTTTTTTTTTAGGATACACAAAGATACAAATTACAAAAATATTTCAACATCTAACCATCCATCTCCCTCCTCCCTCCCCCCCCCCCCCTCCTCCACCGAAAAGCAAAAAAATTCTTGGATCCATCACTGACAATTTTAGAGTAGTTTATGTAGTTTATTGCAAAAAACAAATTAATAATTGCATTTGTGTTAAATATAGAAAACTAAATGTTTGTTTTTCTGTACTTCTTATCTTCTGTACTTCTGAAAGTAGTTTGTTGCAAAAAAAACTAAAACAAATTAAAATTTGGATTTGTGTTAAATATTAAAGGAAGGAAGAAGCTTCCACCCTCATCCTTCTACCAAGAATCAAAGAAAGAGAAAAGCTGAAAGGAATTAGGTTTGTAGGAAGAAGCCTAATATGAAAAAGAATACGTAATGAGATTATTATTCTTATCCTATTATCATAAAAGTAATAACTTTTATAAAAATAAATATCTGCATTTGTATTTCAGAACACTAATTATGAAAAGCAAGAGATATAAAGTACAATGTTCCGTATGCTAAGCAGCTTTTAATAATAATTATAAAACCAGTCATGAAATCTCGGCTCATAGTGGTAAAAAAATTCATATACAAACAGTAAGAGCCCCAGAGAATCCTTTTGTAGCCTCCTTAGCTTCAAAAAAACGAAAACTTGAACATCAGAATGCTGATAACAATGTCGAACTGAATGATGAAACACAACGTAGTGAACATACAAAGTTAGAAAACCTAATAATAGTTGAATAGTCAACTTTAGCATGTGGTATATCCATAAGAGAAGAAACAACATCTTCTAATAAAAAATTTGAAGTGGATGCAAAAGATGACTAATACATCTTATCGCCAAGCCCCTTGATAAGTTCCGTAAATATAAAGTTTAATTTAAAAATAAGCAATTCCGTTAACTATATAAAACAAACAAACGTAAAATTACTAAAGTAATAAATAAAACATCTGTTATAATAAATAATAACAAGAAGCGCTATTAACTTAAATATATTGTTCTCTCGAAATTATTTAATTTTTATTCATTGAAAAATTAATTTTTTTTTTTTTAATATTAAACTTTAGAGCACAAAACAAAAGTCTAAGGATCAAAAAATAACAACAAGATGATGGAAAAGGGGAAAACTCGGTTTATATTGTTGTCTAGGAACAAGCAGAAGAATTTACAGAATTAAGTTCTGAATCAGATCATTAATCCCAGTTTCCTGAGAAAGAAGAAAAGAATGACAAGAACATTACTAACTCGGATAATGCTGTAGTAAGCAATGAAACAATAAACTGACTTTCACTCATGGAGAACTTGGGTGTTACTCTAAAAAAAATGAGTAAATGAAAAACTTGTTTCAACAGAAAACTTGATATCAAATCCCAAAATATAATTGACAAATCAGATGCATCAGCATTGATAAGCTATAACCCAAGCTTACGGCCACATACAACTATGGACAACAAAAAATAGTATTTATTCCAAGTGACGGTAAAAATGGATTTAAACCCCAGTGGTACAAAGAGTTTGAACATTTAAAAAACAGCACTCAGAAAGATGCCGTATTTTGTTTTTTCTGTTGCCTTTTCTCCGAGGGTGTTGGAAAAAAAAGAAAAACTGAAGATGCTTGGATAAATGTTGCGGGAAGATCTTAATCCAAGATGAAAAACTATGGGAAAGATAAATTTGTGCAGCTTCAGACACACTTTACCTCTCAAGCGCATAAAGTTGCATTAAGTGAATATTGTCATTTTTTTTTGAAAAATGGACATATAAATCACCTTTTTGATAAAACCAATAGAACTGCAATAGAAGAAACATAGAAAAACAAAAAATAGAAAGGCAGACTAAAAAAACTCTAAAAATAAAAAAAATAACAATTCTTATTGATACATGCAAAACATTTTAAGTCAAACTTAACTTTTAAGGGATAGCATTTAAGGAATCTGACAGTGCTCACCAAAATAACTTTATTACAGTAGTGAATCTCTTGTCACAATCCCAAACTAAAAACCTGCATTGAAGATAGAGCCCTTCATCTATATAGAATACATAAACGAGTCCATCATCTCAAAATGAAATGATTAATTTAAATGCAACAGAATTGAAGAGTCAGATGATTGATGAAATTAAGAACTCCAATTTTTTCTTTCTGTGGTTTCCGATAGTACTCATGATATGTTACCCAAGTACATAATGAGTGTAGTTGTAAGAATGGCTAGTGAAAACTGTGAGATTCGAGAAAGACTTTTGAAATCAGTTGTATGCATTGATGAGACAAATATCAGTTACGACACAGATGCTAGGAAAGGTTTGATTGAAAATGTAGTGATATTTTCTAGGATGTTACACATTAATGCAGACAACAACTACAGACGACACTACAGATTAACAGCAATGGAGATAAAAGCTTTTTACCAGAACGAATTCACAGAGGTCCCTAACTCTGACCCTAACCCTAACGCTAACCCTAACCCTAACCCTGAAAGCCATGGATTTAACTAAAAAATTGACAGCTTAAAAGAAATAATTTTCTCCCATCACCAAAATCTTTATTATTCCTTTGAGTAAGGACAATTTGAGTATTGAAACCATAACAAAAGCAAAGAAACTTTTTTCGCCTGGATTGAAATTTTGTTAGATACCTGTTTAGAAGAAGGTTATAAAGATTTTAAGCCATCAAGAACACCAGCTGAATAACACAAGATCGAGAACACCAGCTAAGATGCTGTAAGACAAAACAAGCCCATAAACTATACATTATTGTAATCACAGCAGCTTATGTTGTAGCTCAAACAAGCGTTCTTTCAGTAAACTCAAGATTGTAAAATCACATCCGAGAACAACAATGAGTGATAAAAGATTGGATAGTCTTATGCGAATAAAGTGCAAAAAAAATGTAGCTGACTGACTTCACCTTTATCAAAGAATTTTGCTCGCTTTATCATTCTAGTTTCTATGTAGGAACTTAAAGATTCATTAAATGAACATTACTAAACTTCTTTTTCTATCAAATTGCAACTTTAAAAACTTGACTTTAACTAAATTTTTTTTAAGAACGGCTAAGCAATAAATAAAAACCCTAAAAACTTTGCAATATTGCATTGTTCTTAAACAAGACCAGAGAAAAGTCGCAGCAATATATTTCTTACGGTAGTTGCATTGGTGAAAAAACCAAAGTTTTCTTGTCTAATTTTCCGAATTTAAAAAAAATTAAAACAAACAATTTTCTAAAACTAAAGTTATAAAGGTAAATAGTTATAATTTTTAGAATTTTTTATGTTTAAATATATATTTCTTTTTCATAGGTTATACAAGATTTTTTTATAGGTCAAACTTTGTATTCCTAGAGTAAATACTTCCCCGAAGATATTCCGGCCCTAGTTATACAAACTGCAATTAATAACGATTTTTTTTTATTTATTTAAAAAGATACGAGGTGAATATTTTCTACTTTTATTTTATAAGCTATTTAACAAGTTCTCTACCATAGAAATTTAGGATATTTTGTATTTTGTAATTTAGATCCTTTATATGAAAGAAAATGGTTCTATAAACTTTTGATATTTTTTAGTTATCTAGTACTTCTTTATTTTCACTTCTTCAAACATAAACAAACAAGTATACTTTCTTGAAAAAAGGCCTTTTTTTTTCAAATGAAATTTCTTTAATTTTTAAAATAAAGAAGTTCAAATTTTTTTTCTTTTTCAAGTTTTGAAGCTTCGAACATTAAGTAATTCGAATTTTTACTTTTTCAAGTTTCGGAGCAAAATTAGGAAGTTCGAATTTTTTCTTCATTAAGTTTTGAAGCAATATTAAGTTGTTCAAATTTTTTCTTCTTCAAGTTTCGAAGCAATATAAGGTTGTTCAAATTTTTTCTTTTTCAAGTTTCATAGCAATACAAGGAAAACCGATTTTTTTTCTTTTTTAGGTTTCGAATCAATATTAAGAGGTTTGAAATTTTTCTTCTTTAAGTGTTAAACCAATATTAAGAAGTTCGATTTTTTTCTTTTTCAAGTTTAGAAGCAATATTAAGTCTCGATTTAATGGCTGTACGCACTTCTTTTGAAGAAACGTTCATTAATTGTGAAACACAAGCTTAAAATATAAAATAATTATTGAGGTTATTGTACTTAACTTTATAAGTACAATAATATAAAATTAATTATAAATTTTTAATTATAATTAATTATAAATTTTTAATTATAATTATAAATTTTTAATAGTTATTAAAGTTAAGTACAATATAGTAGTGTTGTATAGTAAGCACAGATTTATCTCAAAAATATCGAAATAAAATTTGTAACGTAGTAATTTAACAGAAAATTAAAAAAGAACTAATGGTTATATACAAAAGTGAAATTTAAATATATATATATATATATATATATATATATATATATATATATATATATATATATAAATATATACAAATATATATATATATATATATATATATATATATATATATATATATATATATATATATTTATAAATATATATACATATATATATATATATATATATATATATATATATATATATATATATATATATATATATATATATATATATATATATATATATATATATATATATATATACAAACCGATAACAGCATCTAAAAGATCTTCACAAATCTTTGGTTTTGCTACTTTGTTGGCGTGAGCATTACTATTTTTTCCAGAGACACTAACTTTGCTGAGATAACCTCTATCTCCAACTAATGCTAACAGCAGATCACTAACAAATTTATTTGTTCCACGTTTCTTGTTACATGCATAATACTTGACATGATCAATGAAAACATTGTAGCCAGAAATCAACTGCATCTAAAAAAATAATAAAACCGTCAAATATTCCGTCTTTTCTGAGCAGTTAGATTAGCAATCCTTTAAAAAATTAATTTATTTTGCAACTCTAGATGTTTAGATTCATTACGTAGATAATTTAAATGATTTGTTCTTGAAAATATTAAAAGGCAAAAGTTTCCAAAAATAAAAGCTCTACTTTGTAATTAGTTTTAAATACGCAACACGGTTTAATAAACGTGTTTGCAAAAAGTTTTTTTAAAAAGCACAGAAAACTCAAATCAAGAAAAAAACTTTTGAAAAAAAATCCTGTAATCAAAATGGAAAAAAATTTAGAACTTACTCTACTTGAGCCATCCGGATATGTTGGTATTTTCCACTTTGGAACAGACAAAGAACAAGTCGTATCACATAAAATTGATAAAGAAGATGGAGTTAAATGGCATGCTGATGAATCAGAAGGTTCGTTTGTCTGTTTTGCAGGCTGGCTGGAAGCATGCGAGTTTAAATATTTTGGATTATGATGAGAAGGTAAAACAGATGAAAGAATAGTTGGCTGGTGATAAAGTGTATTTGACAATTCTGTGGCTGAATTTTCTAGCAAGTTTAACGCCTGAATAATTCCTAAAAAAATGAACAGTTGTTTTTAAAAAATAAATTACTTAAAGTAAAAAAAATTTGGTAAATAGAACCTGGTTACTAGACGTGCCTGATTTACATTAATTGTGAAAAAGCTAAACAATACTAAAAAAAAAAACTATTTTATTTTTTGAATTGAAAAAAATTTTTTTTTTACTAAACTATGTAGATGTAACGATCAGGTATCACAAGATGATGATACCTAGACATTAGATTAATATTACTAGACATTCAAATAAATCAATAAAGTTGAATACAGAAAGTAAATAGCTAATCAATATTTTTGTTTTTTATTTTTAACCAATCGTTTAAAACTAATATAACTAAAATAAATAAAGTTAAATAATATAATTAACCTGGCTTTTTTTACCTTTAACTTGTAAACCTCAAAAGAATTACAATTAGTAAAATTTTTTGAAAGTTTTTCTTTTAAAGTAAAGTATTTTTATTTATAGAACTGTTTATAAATTTAGATGCACTTATCCTAGTTTTTAAATATCTGAAGGTTTCTCTAATTCAACCAGGGCCGACAACGCTGGTGGACACCCTTCCTCCCCACCTTCATTTTTTTTCTTTGGAACATTTATTTTTTTTTTTATAGAGAAAATTCTAGATAAGTAAGACTTTTTTAAAAAATAGACGATTGTGCGATTGTGCCCCTTCACTTCGAAACCCATGTGTTGTTGGCCCATTAATAAACAAAGTATTAACAATTTTTAAAACAAAAGAGTTCATTTTCTTATTAACATACAATTTATTTGAATAAATTTTTGTTAATCCAAGCCAAGTGATTCATTTCAAATATATTAAATGAATTAAATCAACGTATAAGATCATGTTTTAACGAAAAAAGAATTAGATTAAGAATAAGAATCTTATTAAATACATTTAATGAAAAAGATTTTTCAATAAATACATTTAATAAGGCAATCTAATACCTTTTTTATAACAAACTTCAAATTTGCACGCTGTTTGAGTAAGGTGCTTAAAAACTCTCGGACCTAATTAAAAATTATCATTATACATCTCATCTGCATATCGTTCTTAAAAAAATGTCATCTACATATCGTTCATAAAAAATTATATCAAAAAATTGGTACAGAGGACTCAGTGACGGATCCAGGATTTTTTGGTGTTTGAGAGCCAACTTCCAGACACGGAGCAAACCCCAAACATTTGTATATTTAGACTTATTTCAAATAATGCTTTGCAAAAAATTGCCAAGATTAGAGGCTAAGAACAAAAAAAATCTTTAATTTCATCCCCCCCTCTCTACCCCAAATGTGGGGGGCAACAAGTTGATAAAATGTTATTTGTACTATTCTCAACTAGATTTATATTCATTGATAAATTTTAAGTTTTGTAGTATATCTCTCAGCATTCAAAAATTATGATCATATAAAATTTAAACCCCCATCGATTTGTCTTAATTTATCTTAAATACCAAAAAATCCTGGATCCATCACTGAGAGAAGTGATGGATCCAGGATATTCAATAAAAATATTAGCTAAGATGGGCGCATTATGAGAACCATTGCACGTGTTTGATCAAAATATTTTATTTCCAATAGAAGCTAAGTACGATACCCTTGCTAGTATAAATATATAAATTTATATTTGATATATTCGTTAATTGATTCCTGGCTTAAATCAAACTTTTAGATTTTTGAAAATATTTTTGCGACTGATAAATGAACTTTTTAAAGCAGTATCAAAAAATAAATTAAATTTACTACTTATTTAAGGATAAACATTATCATTATATATTTTTATTAAATCCAACAACATCTGTCCAATATCATCTGGAAATTTAATGGAACCTAACAATATCTTTAAGATGTAACTACATCTAGAGATTTTTCTCCAAGTCGAGTAATAGCTAGAAGAATTTCCTTCAGATACATTTAAGTATATGTAAATATATGTAAGTACATCTGTCTAAAATTATAACCCTAACAATTAAGGCAATTATGATTGGTTGAAGGTGATCAAATTTTAAGATCCACTTTTATTAAAGCTAATCTAACCAAACCACGCAACCCTGGATGTTAAACATATTTTATATATTTTATTATATATAAGTGGAGGGGTGTCTGTGTCTGTGGAGGGGTGTCTGTGTCTGCCATTTTAAAATCAATGACTGAAATAAAATTTGCTGTATTGTATAGAAGATTTAAAAGGAAAGTAAAGTAACGGAAATTGTTGAAGCATTGAAATGATCTCATTTTAAAATTATGATGTATGCAACAATAAAAACTTTTTTATGATTAATCAGTTAGATATTGCTCATTTCCTCACTACAATGGAGCAGTGCCCTCTCGGCAGCCCTGCGATGGAGACATTAACGAAGTTATTTATTATAACGACCGAAATTTTTTAGCGATTATTGGTGATATGTTATTGTTGATTATGTGTGTTAAGTTCACTAGAAAGATCAACCCAAGTATTATTAGCCACGCAAATTTAGGGGCCCCCAAAAACTTTAAAATTTAATTAAAAATTTGTTCTAACATCTCAAAAAAGTTGATAGTGTGAAAAGCTACTCTACAACAAATATACAAATTGTTGGGCAATTTACATGGGTGTTGTAGACTGCTTGCACTCTCACCTTTTTTAATATTTCAGATCAACTTAATGATTCATTACCATTACTAGTAATAATGCGTTTAATGATGTTTCCAAATCGATTTTTACAAAATTTACATTGACCATTAAAAATTCACCAAATGTAAAAAATCGCATGGTTTAAACGAGTTTGTAAATAATCTTTTGTTGTCATTCATGGAAACACAAGTTATCTAAGAAATCTAACTTTATCTGCTCAATCAAGCTCAATCATTCATGGAAACACAAGTTATCTAAGAAATCTAACTTTATCTGCTCAATCAAAGTATGGTCACTCTGAAAAAGTATTCTCATTCATTTATCAAGCAAATTATGCTCACGCATTTATCAAGCAAAGTATGCACACTCTGACAAAGTAGCAAAACCAAATATTTGTCAAAACCATTTATTGATGGCGTTGCTAGTAACTAATTAAACTATTTAAATTAAGCAAAATAGATTAATACTTTATTGATGACTGTTCTTCTCAGATACCGAAACTCCTTAATTGATTATTGTTCTTGTCAGATACCGAAAAGTTTCGTCAAAGAATATGTGAACAGCATTCATGATAAAATAAAACATTGCGTTAAAAGGTAAGAAGATTTAAGAAATGAAAGATATTATGATGTAGTGTGTTTTTATGTTTTGATTGTTATTAATATTATTATTATTATTATTATTTGATTTTTGATTTTAGAGTATGCGTGTGTTTTTTTTATGATTTAGTATTTTAAGTAATATTTAAAAACTTTTTCTTATTTTTTTTCTTTTAATAACAAATACTACTTATTCAATTTTCTCCAGATGCAAGAGTTAGCCTGCATAGATGCAAGAGTTGCAGATGCAAGAGTTAGCCTGCATAGATGCAAGAGTTGCAGATGCAAGAGTTAGCCTGCATAGGTTTGGAAAAAACTAAAGGTTTTTTAAAAAGCATAAGTCAAATGGGTTTTATTTGTTGTTTCTTTTTTTCATTTTTGAATTATTGCATTTCTGACCAGAAAAGTAACAATAAAATCTTTTTACCTATGCAAAAAGGTTTTGTTTTTTTTTTTACCTAACAAGGCTAGCTTTAAATAACATTAATGGCCAACATTATGTTCTAGACTTTCGGAGCACATAGGTTTATTCATAAAAGTCAAAATCTATAACGAAAGGGCTATATAGATGTAAACACCACTTAAATTCCACCACGTAGATTCTTGTAGAACATAACATTCATACGGGTAAGGTGGTGGTTTGGTGCCCCTTGTCTATTCGATACACTCGGTGGTTAGAGTTTAACAAAAATTTGTAGTCCACTTTTACACCTATCTCTTGACACCAAGATATTTGTAGTTCAATAAGAATTAATAAAGTTATGACAATTTAAGTGAAGAAAAACATAATTTTGACCACATTTTCTTCAACAAATCCTTGAAATGAAATCGTTACTGATGAAGGATTTTAAAAGTAAGTAGGAACGATAATGTGCCTTGCTTGTAATGAAAGAACAGTAATTAGAAAACTTTATATCCGAAGATACGACTTAACCAATATCTTGAATTGAATTAATAGATCTAATAGGTGTATTAATGTTCATTGAGTATGAAACTAATGGTAAAAAATTGTTCCATAGCGTGCATATATATGCTTGATAAATTACAGTAAAATTAGAGGAATCGATTTACTTTTTATTTACGATTTACTTCATTCCAAAGAGTTCTAAAACAATATTCCCCTTTAAAATCATAATTTTTGCCATTGATAACTGCCCTGCTAAAATTTTTTGAAGACGACAGCCCTGAAAAATGCCTTGATTTTATGCATATTCAAGCTGCATTTTTCAATGAAGAGTTCTAAGTTGTCATACATCAAGTTCACATAATTATTGAAAAACAAAAAAATATAATTGATAACCAAAACAAAAAAGTTATTTTGAATGTCTTACAATCACACCTGAATCCTTAAAAATATTTCCAAAAATTTATCTTGCAAACAAAAAATAAATAATAGCAGAAAAAGGGAAAAATCTAAGATTCTCACTGACACTCCAGAAAAAAGAAAAAGTAAAAAATGTAAGATCTTTTACGCAAGACTAAATTTAAAAGAAAAAAAAAAGTTTCAAATCACCATCAAAATGTTTTTTATTTATTTTGATTTTTATTACATTTTATTTTTAAAAGATTTTGTTACTTATAAATATTCTTATAAACATTATTCAAAGGTTTTTTTTTTCATTTTATTAATTATTTTTTATTTTATAAATATCTTATTTCAACAAAAGCTATCACATATATAATTTTATATACAATTGAATTATAGTGTTTTTTAAGTTTTTTAAGTTTTTTAAGTTTTTTTTTTTTTTTTTTTTTTTTTTTGTATTTGCTCTGCATGCCTTAATAATTTTATATAAGTTGTGTTTGATCTGTTTATATAAGTTGAGTTTGATCTATTTTTTAGAGTGACTAAAACATTAGATTGAAAAAAATGAATGTTACAAACTAAAACTTATTTAAATTTCAAAATATAGCAATGCTTTGCTTTAAAAAATTTTGACTTTAGTTTGAAATTCTTAGAATTTTAATAAATAAAGTCTCAAATGGAACTCAAAAGTGAAAATTCAAAGCTGTCTCAGGTGTATTCAAAGCTACCCTAGGTTGGGGCAGCTTTGAGCACTTTAATGTATGTCCAAAAAGTAAGAGTACTGACTTTATTTTCAGAAAAAAATGCTGCAATTTCATTCATAAATCATTATTTTAACTATTTAGAAGAAAAAGGGGTTAAAAAAAATAAAGTATGGGTTTTTAAAACAAAAGTTTTGAAAATATTCAAATCCCCTTTCTCCCCTTACCGTATACATTGATATGACAACAAAAATTAAATCCCACAGTCCATTGTAAAAAATCTGGTCAATTCACATAAGCATGAATAAATTTGGAATTTTTACTATGCCTGAAAGTAAATTTTTTTTTCTATGCTTTAAAAATTTTCAAAAGAAATTCTTTAATACTCTTAGATAGTTTAAATAAAATTTATTTTTTATTATTATTACACGATCATTAGAAGTAAGTTGTTACTTGATCAAAAACACATCCGTTTAATTATTTGAATCCCCTTGAGGATTCTAATTAAATGAGTTCAACTGTATTACTTTTTAAAACGAGAAGGTTAATTTTTTGTTGTATTAAAAAAGTTAATTTTTTGTTGTATGAAATTCTTTTAAAAAATTATTATTACAATACAATCAAAAAAAAAAAAAAAATCATATTTCAATAAGGTTTTTTTGCTCATTTTTGATTTTGGTTTATTTTTAAGTTTTCTTTGATTGCACAGTGCGACGGATATGATGGACAAAATTATTTTGAACTTTTTTTTTACTAAAACCCTTTATATGTCTAAAAAATCACTTTTTATAAAGATATATTTACTTTTTGTTAAGATCTATTTACTTTTTATTAAGATCTATTTACTATTAAGATATATTTACTTTTTATTAAGATCTATTTACTTTTTATCAAGATATATTTTTTACTTTTATTATGAATTTTAGATAAATAGTTGCTAATACTAAAACTTATTTGACAAATTTTATAAATCTTAAAAAAAACGCGAATTTAAATTTTTTTAATTTCATATCATATAACTTCTTGAAATCGTGAAACTGATTAACAAATTTTTTTGGTGGTATTATCTAAGCAGGTTTAATGGTTTTTTTTTTCAAATTTCAGAAATTTTTGATTCAGTTTTGTACTTAAACTCACTTCTTAGTTTTAATTTTGTTGCATGAAGTAATTTATGGCTAAATAAAGTATTAATAACATTGTTAAGCTTAATCTTTTTGTTATGTTACAAGCTTTTTCAAAGGAAGCAACATGGTTTCCCAACTTCATTAACTGATGATGGAGCATTTAATTTACAGTAAGTGTATTGAAAATCTTGAGCTAGCCAATTTTCATTACTTCTTTCAAAATGAGTATCATCATTGTTTGCAGCTATTAACTTTTACATTATAATTTTATAAAGTTTTTCACACAGAACCTTCTAGTTTAATATCTGCAGAAACTAGAACAGTTAATTTTAATGAAAAGAATGGTATATCATTAGGAACTAGTTTATTTTGACGTATAAGTCCGTAAAATGTCACTATTTTTTATTTTACTACTTTAAAAAAAAATTGTTAGGTAAACAGTGCAAAATTTTTTTCATTAACATGAAACTGCAACTGATATTTTTTAGGTTTTATCCACCACCTGGCCTACCTGTGCATTGTTAAATTTAGGTAGATGATAAAATAAAAAACCTTTTCTGACGTTTGAAGTTTTGTATAAATTAATGACCGGAATATATCAAAATAAGTGTTTGCCTTGATTTTTAAACACTTTTTAATACAAATTATTTTTTCAACTTATTGCCTGACCAAACCGAAACCCTTAGTAGATGTATGTACACATCCTGCATGTTCTACTTATTTAGTCAGTCGATGTATGTACATTCCCTGCCTGTTTTACATGTTTGAGTCAGTCTATGAGTGTACACTTCCTCAATTTTATAATAAATAAAATTTTATAAACAATTTAACTTTTTATTGACAAAAATCATAGACATAACGCATTGACAACAATCATAGACATAACGCATAAAAGTAGAGCTGAAAATTTTAAAATATAACATAAAAATACACAAAAACATTCAAGAGGAATTGATCCCACGTCGCCAGGCTACAAGGCAAAATTATTTACCACAAGACTACTATCTATTTACTTATAATGATGTAAATTATAAATATATACTTAGTTTTTTACGCTACGCAATTATTCAAAACACTAATATATTTTCGATTCATCAATTTACACAAAACTTCAAATGTCGGAATAGGTTTTTGATCCTTAAGTTTAGCGACCGACATTTTTGCCTACATTTTTTACGCGTTCTCAAAATATTAAAAAAAGTAAAAACGGGATCAAATTACGATAATAAATTGCACGGTCAGGAATAGCGTGCAATCAAAGTCCACCTCTGCCAAATACATTATAAATTACAGACTTTGATTGGAGAAGAAATAAATACATTTTTTCGATTATAACACAACTTTTAATGGGTTACAGTTTCATAAATTTGAAAAAAACAAACAAAACGAAAACAGTGATAGTGTGTGTTAGAGTTTGAAATGGAAAAAAAGGAATAATTTTTTTTTTACGAATAAAAAAATTATTTTAAAATTAATAATGATTTAAAAAAATTCTTTATTGTAATAACAATAACTTTTTTGATTATAAATCCCTTGTAAATAAAATCGCTTAAAACGCTTGTAAAATAAATCGCTTAAAACCGTTTTAAAATTGGTTAAAATAATTGTCAACTAAAATAACGGTTCATTAAAAGTTTTATTCTCACTATTATTTTAAACTATTTTAAGTTTTATATATTTTAAGCTTTATATATTTTAAGTTTGATATATTTTAAGTTTTATATATTTGAGCTTTATGTATTTTTAACTTCATGTATTTTAGAGTTTATGTACTTTATGCTTTATTTATTTTTAACTTCACGTGTAAATAAAATAAACTGACCAGCATCTTTTTTTTGTAGTTTTTCCCTTAAGACATTATTTTCTCTTTGAAGCAATTCAATTTCAGCTTCCAGTTTAGCTACTTTTTCTGCATGCTATTGAAAAAAAAAATTATATTTTTTCACAATTTGCATAATTTAACGATACATTATTATCAAATAAAAAAACTTTATTAAATAAAAAAAATTACTAATAAGTAAAATCAATAATCAACTAAAAACCATGTTTTGAATCACATTTTTGAAATCCTCTTCATCTTTTTCCTCAACGTGTAGTCGTTTGTTTGTTCTATAAGCTTTTGTCTTTACTTTCTAAAATCTTCAATAAATGTTAAAAACTGTCATAAAATATACAATGTTTAAATAAACTATAAACTAACCTGAAGTGGTTGCAAAACTGATACAGCTTTTCTATTTGTCATAGGTGATTTTACGAATGTGTTTACGTATTTTTTTAACTCTTCAAAGTCATCTAAAAGATATATTTTCAAATTTAGTATTTTATTACAGACTGAACCGCGGTGGAACCTGAACAGGTGGAACCTGAACCGCGGTGGAACCTGAACAGGTGGAACCTGAACCGCGGTGGAACCTGGACAGGTGGAAGCTCTCTAGTTTGCTCCAGATTCCTGTTTTGGAATTTGTATTTATACATATTAACGTTAACAAAAGTGTATGCAAGTATCTAACGTACGTAAACTTCAAATTATGAAATCTTAAAACACACTAAAAATATATCAAGTATATCAAGATTTACAGTTTTACTTTCACTTGAAAATTGCATTCCCACAACATCTCCTTAAATTTAATCTTTAGCATTTATTTCAATTTTCAACATTGGTAAAAATGTAAAAAATCATATAAGAATGAAATATGAGCCCAGCAAGACAATTTTTAATATGAGACTAGCATGACAATTTTACAACATTTTAATTTCTAAAAGATATTAGTCAATTGACATCATATATTGAAATTAGAAAAAGAAATATGAAAATTCATTTTTGATGCTTTTTTCAAACTGTATTTCAATAAAACCCTTTAAAATTAGCAACTCTTTTTAACACTTACCTTAACGCAAGCAGAAAAACACTAGGCCGCACATGTGGTCTACTCTAAATTACGCTCTGATATATAGACAAAAATTTACAACCGAATTTTCTGAGCTTAGCTAAGCGCAGTACGTGCTAGGCTTTTTATTATAAATGATATCCATTCGTAGATTTTGCTTTAAAATACTGTGCGCAAAGTTTAGAAAAATATATTAAATATCTTGGATTTAATGCTGATTTTATAAACTTTTATTGGCAAAAATTAATATATTTCACTAAAATTGTAATTTAATATGGTGTAGTTGTCTAATAGAAAAACTCAGTACAATTTTTGCGAAAACAAATCATGAATTTTAATAAAAATTTTGTTTTTTAATTTTAAAACCTTTTCAAAGAATTAAAATTCAAAAAATGTTTAAAAAACTTTCTTACCACCTGCCTTCAAAACTTTTGCCTCAAACGATTGCCACGTGTTTACAGAATTTGAAATCTCTTTATGCAACAGAGCATTATTGAGATGAGATGGCCATTTTACAATCACATTTTCTCCATTAGTTAGAGTAGCATCAATCCACTCAGTTCGACCAACCTTAAATTCATAAATTTTCACTTATAAATTCCATAAATAAATTTATGATTCTAAAATCAATCCCTCTAAACAAACTTTCGATTACACAGGCCAATAAAAAAAATCAATCGAATATTGTATCATGGGACAAAAAAAATGCATTTCTTGAATTACAGGGTTTTAACAGAAAATAGATATGGTAAATTACAGTCATAGGCAATTCTAGTAAAAAATTAAGTGGGGGGAAGGGGTGGGGAATTCTTAATTATCGAAATCTTAAAATCTAATTTTTTTGAAATACGTGGTAATGACTTTTCAGTGACGCATCGATGAAAAAAAAGTATCGTCACAACAATATGGGTTTCGTTTATAGTTTCTCATTGCGATTTTAAATATGCAACCCATTTTTAACCATCATCTCAAGTTAAAAAGCAATTTTAATTCAAATTTTTAGCTTTTTGGGTAAAATCCCTAATATTGTCTAAAGAAAATAATTCCAAAGTAAATGTTAACCTGGGTCTCAAAAGAGGCATATTTTTATAGAATATTTTTATAGAGATTTTAAAAATCATAAATATTTTTACTTAAAATTTATTGTCAAAAACAAGATTGTGAAGAAACACGATAATAAGACTTGAAACAATTTTAATAAAAATATTTTTAACAATAATATAAAAAGTATTCAAGTATTCATTATAAAAGTATTCATTTTTATTTTAAAGGAGTATTATTTTTAAAATCTCTATGAAAACATACTTTTTTGAGACCAAGTTTGACACATTTTTTAATAATTTTTTTGACATTATTTCATGACATCATATTTTTTTTGACATATGTATTTGAGGTTTTACCTAAAACTCTAAAGCTTTAAACCCAGTTAGTTTTATAACTTGAGATAATAGTTAAAAAATGGGTTGCATATTTGAAATTAAAATGATAAATGCTATGAAAAAAAAATGTAATGTTTGCTACACAACCGAAAAAAGTTTGGTTGGCAGTGTTATCAAATTCTACAAATTAATACTGCATACTAAGTTTTGTTATTATCAATCATTTATATGCAACACAGTATTAAGGTTTCGGCATTTTGAAAAATTTGTCAAAAGGAAAATCGAAAGTTAGAAATTGAGTAGGTAACAAATAAACATATAGCTATGCGAACTATGATAATTATGCGAATTATGATAATTATGCTATGTGTTAATTTGCTCTGTTTTTTTTCCATATATTTTAAAAACTAAATAGTTTTTATAAGTTTTGACAACATATGCTGCTTATATTTTAAATTAAACTTAAAAATACTTTTACTATAACTAAAATAATCTTAGATATATTTGATGTACAAATTAATATAAAAAAGTAAAATAGTATTACAATTTATGTTTTGAGAAAACAAGACAAGAATAAATTTTTTTTTTAGTTGTTTAATCAAAGTATTTTTTAGTTATTTAGTCGAGTCATTATAAATTCTTGTCATCAAATGCATCAAATGGATATATAATGATATTTTAATTACTGATAAGATATTAGGAAATTTCCATATAACTGCTTGTATTTAAGACGAGTTATTTATGATTAGCCTTTAAGGAATTCATATTTTTAGGTGGGATATTGAGGAATATTTTGCTATTAATTTGTTGTAAAGGCAAGGACGACGATATGTTATAGAGAGCTAGGAAAATTTTCTTTTTTTCAACAGTACTATATAGAGCAGTGTACTTCACAGTGCAGAGACTTTCCGTTTTTTTATAAAGATTTTATAAACTGAAAAAAAAAAAAAAAAAAGAAAGAAAGGTAAGGAAAAAAGAATAAAATAAGAAAAATAAATAAAATAAAACTAAAGGAAGTGAAGGAAAAAAAAAAAAGAAATGAAAAAACAAAAAACAAAAAACAATTCAAACTAGTTAACAAAAGAAAAAAAAAAACATAAAAAGAAAGAGAAAAAAAAAATAAATGACAAAAAACCAAAGTTAAAAAAAAAAAAAAAACAAACATTTGAAAATGGAAAGTAATAAGAAAAAATGAAAATAAAATATAAAAATTGCTCCGTTTTTGAAGAAACGAAAAAGAATTTTTAAATTTTATTAATTTTATGGGACGATTGTATTTTGTTGTTGTTGTTGTTGTTGGTGTTGTTGTTTGTTTTTGTATTCTTCTGTATTGTTCATTGGGGATTGTAGTGCATAGTTCATTTTGTTATGTTATAGTGCGTTGTTTATCATCGGTATGTATTTTTTTTTAATTTTATGTTGGTTGGACATTTTTAAAAATATATATATTTTTAAAGCTGTATATTTATATGTATCAAAGCTGTATACACTCACATATGTATACATATGTATGTGAGTGTATGTATGCGCGCGTGTGTATTTATGTGCAAATATGCATGTGGGTAAGTATGTGTAGATATTTGTTTTTTTATTTATATTTGTATTTTTTTATATTTGCTTGTGTATGCATCCAAGTGGGCTTGCGTCGTGCGGGGACGTCCGTTGGACGTCTTACAGACGTCTGGACGTCCATGAGACATCTAGCGGACGTCCTCCAGACGACGCGCGCCCACTGGGATGTAACAATATGAAACTTTCTCATTTTTTTAATGCTTATTTATTTTTCTTTATTATATCTTTGATTTTTATCAAAATTTTGTTATGTTTTTTTGTTATATCATTATTTCTTTTAATTTCAAATATTTATCGTAAAAATAGGGGGCCTAGCTGATTGCAATTTTTGGGGCCCTTTTTCAAATTAAGGAGCTTTTTTTTTTGTTTTATTTTAGTAGTGGGAAACAAAATCTTGCCCTCCCAGTCATTCGCTTCGGCATTTTATGATAGATATTTTGCATATGCCATATTTTAACTCAAATAATGTTATTCCAGTATTAAAAGTCACATAGCTTCTTTACTTTAAGCTGTACATCAAGTGTCCGGAGTTACCCGCCGTCCAAGGCTACCCGACGTTCTCCTAAATTTCTTTAGTTTTCTTTCATAAATTTTTAGGATTCTTTATTTTCGATTTATTTTTTATTTAAGCGGTCTTGTATAAAAGATTTTTCTTTAGTTTTTTAGCATATAAAAATTTATTTATTTTTTATTAATCATTTATTGTTTTATTTTTTGTTATTTAATATTAAACTATTTTTAAATAGTGATATCTAATTTTTATAGTGTTATTTATTTTTTGTTTTTATTTTCGTTTGAAGCATTTATTATAAATGTTTTATTCTACCGTGTATTATTATTACTTTTTTTATATTTATTATTTTTAATTTATGTTGTTCTTTCTTGTTGATGTTGTTTTTTGTTTTTATTGCCAAAAGAACTTAACGTAATTTTTTGTTTTGCTTGTAATGTTTGTTGTAGCTTTTGTTTTGTTTTGATTTTCTCAGTGTTTTTCTGTTTATATATTCTATTTATTTACTTAGTCATATTATTTGCAATATATTTGCAATATATTTACTTTGTCATATTATATGCAATATATTCTTATAATATATTATTATATTATAAGAAAAATATATACTAAATCTTTACAATTTTTTTTAGCAGTTTTTATGTCATCGTTAGTTGTTACGTTTTTATGTCATCGTTAGTTGTTACGTTTTTATGTCATCGTTAGTTGTTACGTTTTTATGTCATCGTTAGTTGTTACGTTTTTATGTCATCGTTAGTTGTTACGTTTTTATGTCATCGTTAGTTGTGACGTTTTGTCAGTTAATTACTGTTTGTAACTGTAACTGTATGTAAAAACGATTGGTGTATGGAAAATTATACTGATTTTTTTAAATTATTTTAATTACTATATTATTATTACTATTGTTAAAATAACATGTTATTATTATTAATATTATTATTATTATTATTATTATTATTTTTATTATTATTTATTATTATTATAAATATTATCTTTACTATTATTACTATTACTATTTTAATCATTATCATTAGGTGTTTTTCGTGATGTTAGTAGTTTATATTATTTTTAAACAACCTTGAAACGTAAGACCAAATATTTAAGAAATATATATTGATTGATTGATTGATTATTGATTGATATAGAGAATTAGGATAATTTTCTTTATTTCAAGGTTATTATATAGGTTCCACTTGCTCGAGTGTTAATTTTATTTGTATTAGTTTTAAAAAAGTTATTTATAAATCGACAATTTACATTTTATATTTGAACAAAAACAATATATTTTGAAATATACTGATTTGATAAATGTTTTGTAGTTTTGTAACATTTTTTGTTTTGTAGTAATGGGTTTGTATGAGTTTGTCTTTATCAAGTATAATTCTAGAAAGCGAGTTTCTTCGTCTATAGAGATAACTTAACTTAAAAAAAGTTTAAAGTTTTTGAATGATAGAAAAGTCTTGCTTTATAGAGTAGATCAAATTTTCTAGAGATTTTTGTGTTAATGGCATTTAGGTGAGAATTTCATGATAAACTCGTCAATAAGCGCACCAATAAATTTTGATGATTTGGTTCGTTCAATAATTATCTAGTCTGTACTTACAATTGTTAAAATCGATGCAAATTGACTCATTTGTATGTAGTGAAATTAGATGTATTTAGTTTTGTCTGAGCTTAAAAACGACTTGTTAGGGGCCATCCATAAAGGACATCGTCTAAATAGGGGGGGGGAGGGGGTCGAGTTAAAAAGGACAAAAAAGGACTAGGGGAGTGAGGAGGTTGTCAGAAAAGGACGTCACTTTATAGATTTTTTATTTTAGTTTAATTAACATGAAAAACTACGTAAACATGTGTTTTAAGAAGATAATGTATGAGAATATTTTTAGTTTTATTTTTCAAAGGTGTAGCAGCAGATTCAAACATCATTGCAAGATGGAATAAATTTTTTTGGAGTTAAAAATAGGGAGAAGGTCAGGATTTTATGACGTCCTTTTCCAGGGGGGTATAGGGAAAAAGGACAACCGGTGACAAAAGGGGGAGGGGGTCAAAAATTAGCTAAATAATGGTGACGTCCTGTATGGATGGTCCCTTAGGTCTAAACCATGTGT